GGCTGGCTTTTCTCATGTATTCTACCACCACTACCCAACTGCTAATTTATTGTGTTAACATAACATTCATCAAAGTTGGATTTAGTTAAGGTCCACTAATGTTCCTTGAACTACTGCAAAAGTTATAATAAAAAACAACAAAAACATGGTTTTATATTTTTTATCATACATTTTATACATTAAATGTTGTGAAAACTATAAAATTTTATATGATGCTGGGTCTTTGTACTAATAGGGCTCCACAACAATACAGACTAGAAAGAAACAGAAGGGATAAAACAGTGGAAGCCACAGCACACTCGTCTCAGTCTACAACAAACAATGGAGTAGTGAACAATATTGCTTCACCACAGGAGTTTCCAAACTTTAGATCCAAGAGACATCAGTGTTTTTTTTAATAACAAATGTACGATAGACTTTCAAAACATATGAATGATATCGTCTTTATACTTTTACCAAAAGTAGGGTTTATTTTGGTAATATACAAACCACTGTCACTTTAATGGTAATTTAAATTAAAAGTGGCAAGAACAGATTTTTATATTATCAATAAATAATAATGTCAATCAAACTCTTAAAATATATTCTAAACACCATTCAAGTTGTGGAATTAATTATGGAGAACTTACTTTGCACATTTACTGAGGTGCTGAGGTTATAAAAATTAGTTCCTACAGTGTATATGTCACGGAGTGGAAAGTGGACATTTTTAGACCTGGCAGTTGGAAAGAAGCAAGAAGCAAGGACCAAGTGTTACTCATACAAATAGTGTTACATCTCCGCTACTTGGTTCTCATAGTGTGACAAAGTCTTACTGCATCAGGGTAACAATTACCTTTTAAAACCATGATTATTTACTTAGGTATTAGAAAAATACTTTTACAATAACTGATTGATACTGGAAAATAGATTCCTTTGTTTTGTTATTAAACTATCTTAATCAATATATCGATTATATTATGAACATTATCTAAAGTTTATCATAAAATAATAATAGTTTAGAATCAGTTTGCTGCATTTTTATGCAAGTCCAGTAAGAATGAAAGACCTAATATACAATACATTTACTACCACACTACCCAAAAAGAGAATGTTAAAGAGAATGATAACTGAGTTTCGGGAATGCCAAGTGAAATCTATCACATAAAATGGAATAAAAGGTTATTAAAAACCAAAAAATGTTGCAACAATTTATTTTTAATTAAAATTTAAAAATTATTTATTACTTTGATTCTGTTCAACAAACCAAAGTAGAACTTGATATTTTTTATTGGTTTAGCTAGTTGTAAGATTTACTTGAAAACAATTATAGCCTACCTACTAACTGTAAAACTTAAATGTACATGATATGTGATATATTCCTTACTCAAAACTAAAATTAACCAATTGAATTGTAAAACAAAAGCTACACAATTTATAAAAAATTAGTTTGGTAAAATTTAAAAACAAAATATTTACTTATAATCGCAATATATTAACAGTTAAAGTTTCATTTGGGAATGGAAAACTATATAATATACTCATATAACAACCAATTAGTGAATTAATAGTACTTGATGCACACTCTTAAGTCTTAACACATGAACAAATGTAGTACAGTAACATAACTTAAAAACTAGTGGCATGTAGGGGCATAAGTCCCTAAAAAGCTCAAATGTAAAACAAATTATAGTTATAATTAAACAAACTAATAATCAAATGATCTCTGAAAATTGTAAGTCAATCATTTTTAGATCACTTAAGTGGAAGCAGAATTATCTATAGTTATTTGTGCAACTAGTGAGCAATTGCCTCACTCGAGAGAAATCCTTACTAACGAGCCACAGTTACCATAAAAAAAATAAATTGGTAAAGAGACGTAACATATTTTTACACAGAAGTGAACTTTTAATATGACATTTAATGCTGTGACAAATACAACAGTACAACAGCTGACCAGCTGATTTACAGCCAGTGCTGCCAACGTATTTCGCGCGCATACGACCTTGTCTGCATGTTACACGTTCACTATTTCGTGCCTTCACGTTGCAAATCTGGAGTGAGACAAAGTAATTAGAGTGAGACAATGTTAACATGAAATGATGAGACTATGTTAACATTGTCTCACTGATGAGCAAATTGGCCACTTTGCTTTCTCAAATCAGAGAGAGAACATGTACATTGTTAGGTAACTCTAGGAAAAATCATTTGTTGTGTCATTTGTCTGTTGTTAGGAACAAACTTCACACACTATATCAACCAACAGAATTAAAAGTAGAATAAAAATAATAATACATTTGTAATCACATGTTTAACACGTTGGCTACTGCAATAGTACGAAATTTTTCATTCACATGGACCAGCGACGCACATATGCGACGGCCTGTTTCTACCCATAGACTGCCGTAGCATATTTGCGTCGGGATTCTAATGTTATTAAAATGCTTATATCTTTGTAACGGTCTATTTGAAGGCATTGAATTCCCTGCAGTAGTCTACAGAGATGTCTGACACACAACCGCGTCGCTTGGTCTGTGGATATGATGATTGGTGACGTCATAAGATAGTTGGAAAAACTGGTCTTTACTTTTCTGCATCACTGTATGTATGTATGCTGCATTATCCTAGGTAGCTTTTATATTTGTTCAGTTATAAACTGTTCTTGAATAATCTGTTTTATTTACTTACTTTCACTTCAAAACACAAACAAAAATGAACTGTTGCATATATGCGGCGTTTGGGCTATTTGAAGAAAACAATGATAATTTTCACTATTGTCTTCGTTGTAGACCGGGCGTCGCAAATATGCAACATTACAAAAGGTTATAAAAAATACAAAAAAAAAAAAAAACAACAATAAATTATTTACAAACACGGTTGCAGCGTACAGTAGAGTCCCACAAACTCGGCGTAATGTGGACTGGAAGGTTGCCGAGTTTGTGAAATGCCGGGTTATCGGGAACTAGGGTTAAAAATAAGAACAATACAATTTTTATTCCTTTTAGCTGCCTTATTTATTTACATTTATTTTACAAGTAGGTATTAAGTCTTCAGATGTAGTACAACAAATCCTTGGTACGAGTTGCAAATGCTTTGACTTGTGCCCATGTTTAACTCGGACTCAAAAAATCACTAAATTTCTGAGCCAGGTGATGGCCGAGTTATCCAGACTGCCGGGTTATCGAGTGCCGAGTTTGCGGGACTCTACTGTATTACAATGTAAATTATCACTGTTTTACAGGATTTTGCCCGTGGTCTGTGTTTACTGTTAACTAAGTGACAGCCGGTCTATGTGTAAGATAAGATTCAAATGTATGCCTCGGTCTGAGTCAAATGACCGCGGCGTTGCATATGCGACACCCAGTAGCGGACGTGTTAATGTAAACAAAGCAGACGTTTTTCAATCCCAATGTATTTTAAATTAAAGATATTTTTGTTATTTCTCATTTTCTGGTAAATTTGGATATAACCTGCTATTTTTCAAGACCCCCTGGGACCAAGACCTTTAATTAGAGCCCTATTTCAACATCATGCGAGCTGTCAAACTCTCACAATATTGATTTTAAACAATCGCTTAAAGCATTAATAATATATATATAAATGCAATGTTTAAACACATTGGTTATTAACACAAACTTAAACAAAAACCTTCTCTCACAATATTACTATCACAGACATAACTTAAGAAGTATCCATCAGTAAAAAAAAAAAAAAAAAAAAAAAAAAAACAGCCAACTTGGTGTATACTGAATATGTAAAAGAGGGTACTTATGATGTCATTTTTTATATAAATTACTAAAACATATGCCCTTGTTTACCAAAAATAATGTTCTACTACATACATTTTGCTGGCAACATAATACAAAAATAGCCACAGTAGACTCTCGTGTACTAATTTCGCAGAGGATGAAGAAGGCTATTAGGGATATCAGAGTACTCAAATATTTAATCACTAGGGCGTAAACTGACTGCTCAAGTTTCACGACCAAGGTCGGGAATTGAGCAAGGGTTGAAAAGACACATTTTGCCCCGTGTACTATATATTTTTTATCATATTCTACATCATTTCACAAAATAAGTTAGAAAACGAATATTTATGTAAAGATGACTTCCAACTTGTTTTTAATTTTTGATAATGCAAATAAGCAGATGTTAAGTCATTGATTCAATCAATTTGTTAATTTGTCTATTATGATTGTGTTAGTGTACATTACTCGATAAATCAAACTATTCATAAGAATGCAACAATAATCTACTACCGATTAAATCAATTGATACATAGGCTAATATCGAAATGCTATTGCTTAAAATCGCTTAAGTTTAGAACTGAGTTTACAGCAGCTGACTTACTTCCTAGGGATTAAAATGGCTTTTTACTCCCTAGGTAGTAAAAGGGCTACTTTATACCTGCAACGTGTGTCTTAAAAACGGTTTTTTTTGCAGCAGTATGACGAAAAACAATTTTATACACTCCCTTTAATGGATACGAGGGGACCCGTGCACAAATTGCACAGTTTTATAGGGTCAAAAACTTATTTCCGAGGCAAAATAAATCCAGTGCAATACCCATTAACCGATTCAAGATTACTTTTATTTAGAACAGTTATTAGGTGAATAGAAATACTAGTTTTCAACCAATTTCTTGATTTCAGATCTAAAGAGTGATTTATTTACCTTCCTCTCACAGTTGTCAAAAAAGGAAAAATTACCTATTTTAAATATATATTTAAAACACTCTATGATGGAACAGTTGTAAATTATTACAACTACAACTCATTTAAACTATTTTATGAAAGTTTGTCAGCATACCTAGATTTTTAAAAATGGCCTCTAGAAATAAATTTAACTAGAGAGGGGGGAGGAACCCCTAAACGAAATTACCTTTTTATTTACCATTCAAGTATTATCTAGCACGTGCCCTAGATCATAAGACTTAAAATTATACTTCAATCATAAAAATTGATTAAAGTAGGAAGGCTGGAAAAGGGATGTTACAGGGACACCCGTTATCATATAAAGTATATGATATTGGGTCTATAAGATGCCTGGATTACAGGATTTACTAGACTATATCATATCTGATTGCCTATCACAAGAGTCTACTAGGCACATATTTGGATTTAAAATTATAAACAATGTCGATGATTTAAAATTAACTTTCAATATGAAGGTAATGCAAAACTCTTGGACAAGACATAATTATTTAAATTTTTGTATCATACTAAAGTGATTGTCCATTCATACACATAATATTTGAAAGAACGCCAACATTGTACTGAACGTAAAACAAAAACATCCATTCACATACAAAAATGTTTAATGTAAATCAAACACTTTAAATTAAGAAGAAAGCAATTAAATTACTGGCAGTAGTGAGAGATTCAAATCATCAACTAATACTTGAGTATATTAAACAATAAAATTTAAAAATTGACTAAAAAGCAAATTGGAATGTTAAGTACAGTAATAAAAATCCATAGTCATTCAGGGGGAAGAAGATCTCCGCTCGTCAGGTTTACTGAAACATTAAAAATGTAAATGAATGATCTAAAAACTACTAAAAATCATTGTAGCAAGACAGTGATTTGTAATTGTTTTTTTTTGTCATACTAAATTATGTTGTTTGTAGTTATGGGTCGGTACTTCATGTTAAATGTCGGTTCCACTGGTTCTTGGGAAAAGAACCAGAACCGAGAAACGATGGTGAAATGTCGGTAGCCTACCGAGTTGAAGTTACTAGGTTATATTTTTATTTACTCATTTATAAATTCTAATTGTCAACCATGATAATTATTTTTCCACTTATTGGAAAAACTACCTGATTGGAACAAATGCTCTTAGCCCTGTCAAACAAAGAGTAAGCAACCCCCTCCTTGGCAGAAATTTGGTGGTTAGATTGAACGTTTAAATACTGTCCTGTGTGTGTCTCTTCTTTCTATAAACAGATGTTCTAAGACTGTTAAAATGCTTTTCTACGCACACGTCCAAAAAGGGGAGTTTGTTTTGTGATTCCACTTCCATGGCCATTTTATGGAAGATGAAACGCTATTAAGGTGCTCTAAAAACTCCTTCAATTCATCATCTCCATGAGGGAAAACCACAAAAGTGTCATCGACATACCTCCACCATATCTTCGGTTTGAGCCGAGCTGAAGCCAAAGATTTTTGCTCAATCTCCTCCATAAAGATATTGGCAAAGATAGGCGACAATAGTGACCCCATGGCCATACCCTCATCTTGACGGTACAATTTACCCTCTAATTGGAAATAGTTACACTGAGTACACAACTCCAAAAGTTCCATTATGACCTTGACAGGGAGTTTAGTTCTGTTAAAGTATCGTCGTTTGTGAGACAAGTATCAATAATTATTTTGAGGGTTTCCGAAACGGGGACATTCGTAAACAGACTACCTATTCTGAACAAGGAACTAAACAATAGGGAACTTAGTTGTTCAATAAAAAGGGAAATCACGAGTTCTCCTAAAAAAAATTGCACGTATTGTTAACCCGTAGTAAAGCTCATGATAGGAATAAACAGAATTAACACTCTTTTTGCTGCATCGTACATCACTCCGCCATTTTGTTGGTTTTACTTTTCCAGGGACTGGACGCCATTGCTGGTTGTTTCCATGTTTTGGATTGGTCTCGGCCATGATGCTTCAGTCTCATTGGTGGAGTCAGTGCGAACTGTGCGATTAGTGTTCCATTGTGTGAGCTGTTCAAACTACACCTTTATAGACTGTAGTGTTTTGTGATTGGTTATCATTTGCATGTTGTATCATGACTTGACTGCTATACCACTGCCTCCTTTAACTTCAGGCCGCGGCCAGCGAGAATTGGCAACGTCGCACCGAGCATTAACTCCCGGCCGTTTCACCATTACGTTAGTACGGAACTAGTGGTCGCGGTTTAAATATACTGCATTTTTACACCCTTAGTATTATGGGAAATAAAAATATTACTTCATTCATTGTGTTATTGCGCCAGCATTAACACAATTTCAAAAACGCATGTTGGCAACACTGTTTACTTGGTAGATTCCATTCCCCCAATACTTTCCCCCCTTTTCCTCCCCTACCTATTGATATATTGTTTGTTCATTTTGCATGGGTGCCATGACCTTGACAGGTTATCTGTTCATAACATGTCCCTCTCAGAAGCCCAGCGTTAGTGTATTTTAAAGCGGGGTCTCACAGGCCGAGGGTTTCGGTTTGTGTGTTTCTAATCAGGATCCATTATTTCGAAAATGGGGTCTCACAGACCAGGGGTTTCAGTTAACGTCAGCCTGAGCCTAGGTAGGGTTTCGGTATTAGTGTTAATAACTAATACATTGATCATAATCTTGCAACAGACAATGGGAAGGAGGGGCTAGCGGAATCTTTAAACTTAGCGCTCATCAACCAATAGCGGCGTGGCGACCACCATCTAGATTGAATTACGTGGAATTAGCGAATAACTAAAATTAGCAAAGACATGTATAATTAGCGTGCAATTGTTCTTCTGTGTTGGCTGGTTTTTTGTGACAGTAATTTTTATGTCAGATATCGATATTTCAGAAATAGCTGAAACTGTTTGTATAAGCGGAGTAAATTTGAGGGAAAAAGTGTCAAAAATTATTTTGAGAATGAGCAATATTTTGTTAAATAACTACACGAAAGTAAAAAAAGACAAAAATAATAGCCACTGTAACTATAGAAAAATATCAATCCTCTCTTGAATAAAATAATGTTATTTATTGCTTTTGTCAATTTTTACTTTGTATAGTAAATGTCATCATTCTAATAATTTAATAAAACAATAGCTTACATAGAAGCTGTAACTTAATAACATTGTAGATAGGATTTAAATTATAAGTGTTTGACAGATAATAAATCATAGAGTAAATACGTAGAAGAGACGGAAGAAAACTACAATTATAGGCCTAATACTTATACGTTCAATGTACTGTTAAAGGTTTTAATAAATATTTTATTATATTCTTGTATTGACACGAAAGCCTTGTATAATTCTTTACTTCTTTTCCTACACATCAGTGTTGTCAGATATAAAACATCTAAATTAATATATAATTTGCGTGCTTGCTCCAATCCTCCGCGGCGCGAGTGCGAGCGTTCAGTGCGTATCAGTAGCCATCCAGCCATCCCATGCGGTGTTGCCACTTCGAACCTGTAGTCGGCCTGTAGTTAAAGGTGGTTGTGGCTATACAGTGCATTTTTTTACTACTACCCTTTGTAATGTATTCCAACTTAGGTTGGGCGTTTGTGTATTGTTAGTTGTAATGAGTTAGTTAAGTTTTTTCACCTAAGAACGGGATAAGATTCCAGATCCCGAAACGTTATGTATTGTTTTTTTTTACCATCGTGATGGAAAATGTATGCAATAAACCTTTGAAAAACATTAACTCACCATCACCAACAATTAATTAAATTCAGAAAAATAAATCATATAGTTGCTATAGTGTTTATTTATTAGCACGCATGAGCCCCACTTCTATACCGTATTAATACCTATCCTAGGGAATTTAAACCCCCCACCTGAATCAAAAGAAAAGGAGTTTATCAAACTAAGGGATAAAATATTAAGTTCTGATTCTATTCAATTATGGATATGAAACTATTTCATCCAGCAGATCTAAAGTATACTACAGTATTTTTTTCCTTGTTCTCTTACCATTGCAATGCACAGGTATAACGACTAGTGTTTTTTTTTACATGATTTTTCAAACGTTAAATAATTTTAACCAAACTGGTACCAACAAAACTATTTTTGAACAAGCAAAAATGTTAAATAACAACTTACCTTTCATCTTTACGCTGGTGTGATTGTTCATCTTTCTCAGGTCGATCACAAGGTGAACCAACAGGATGAACTGAAAAAAACAATAATGTCAGGAAAGTAAACCTAAATCTGCTTTGTTTGGTAAGGCTGCGGCTCCACTTGCCGTAAATTGTCGCGCTGCAAATTGTAGCGTGCTACACGCTACAGTTGGTGGCTCCACTAGCAGCAGAGTACGAACTACAATCTGCAGCGTCCTCAGATGCACCGTGGCTCCACTAGCAGTTTAGTGTAGCGCGGAGGTAAACGTAGCCCTGGATTATGCTGCAAATTAACATTCATAGTGTTGTTATCAGTGTACTTTATCAAGACGACGCCGATCACTGCAGGAAAATGGTGGATCCATCCAATATTAAGCAACGGAAAGTCCGAAGGGATGTTCCACACATTGCATACTAAACTACAAAAGTATTCAGACAAGTTTTTTTAAAAAATATTATCAAATGTCCCAAAACTTATTTGATTACTTAATTAAATCAGTATCAACACATTTTAAGAAGGATACCAAACTAAGAGAAGCAATTGGAGTAGAGGAAAGGCTTTCAGTGACATTAAAGTAATTTTAGTATACTGAATTTTAACTAGTTAATTGTATACAGTGAACCGTCGCTTTGATAATCCTTGGTGTGTCGAATTACTAATGGTCATTTTATCTCTATTTCTATTCTATTTTAATTTTATTACACTCATTCACCCTCAGAAGTAATATTTCTAAGTAACCAATGTATAAGGTGAATATCAATGAGTTTCGTGAGTTTTTGTTGTACCTATTAATAATAATCTAAAACAGCCAATAGGAGCTTTTTATTATAGGGCTAATAATTATAACATGTTTTCACACATTTTGTTTCTCCAATCGCTACTGTATTACTTTATAATATAAAGAAGCAAACCCCTACACAACCTCTATAAAACAAGATTCCCACACTCCCGTTGTAATAATTTAATAATTTCTAATATAATAATTTCACAGTCCAGTTCAGGCTCCATTGATTACAAATCAATCCACGAAAATAAAAAAACTAAGGACACTAAAAAGTCGAAACTGATTGTAGCGTGTGTCTTGTCCATGTTTGCCTGTCGGCTGTACGTACACTGACTTGGCACGGCACTACAATCTACAGCTAGTGGAGCCACCTGTTGGCTGCAAAATGTAGCGCGAAAATGGTCCGAGTTCCATTCCCGCGCGCCGTAAAATGTAGCGCGCTGCCGACTGTCGCTAGTGGAGCCACCTTCGTTGATCGCTGCATTCCCATTTCTTCAACTGACCAGCTACAATTTGCAGCGCGGCAATCTACGGCAAGTGGAGCCGCGGCCTAAAACTTATAAAATAACAGTTATGTCTGTTGCATGACTTACAAAAGAGTGTCAGACTAATTACAAAGGTCAATCTGAGCCTAATAATTCCTTCAAGTTTGTCTTATCGTTTGCGGTTCTCTAACCGGACTCTGATTGTAGCTTTTGACATAGAACTTCCATTGTGTTATTGTCTAGTCTTACCTAGAGGCGGGCGAAAGGTGCGTGTGGCCCACATTGGGTTGTAGGGCGGAGGTGGCTGATGCACGGGTGAAGATGATGATGCTCTGTCACCCTCACCCATGGCATCCAGCTGAGATGGCCTCATGAACACACTGTTCCTATTGACAGAAAATGTACTGTACATTTGTTGATATAAACTAACTACAAAATTAGTTTTTGTAGGAAACTATTTTGTATTATTGTAATATAAAGCTATTGATGGATTTTTAAATAAAATATCAATACTTCTAGGTAATAGAATGTTTTTATTCATACCGACTAACATGATTTTAATTTCAATATTAATTGCGGGTTCTTGACTGTATATCTAAATATATAAAAGGCAAAGCCCTCACTGACTCACTGACTCACTCATCACTTAATCAATGGTTTGATGACATAATTAAATTAACGAAAAACGTAACTAATCAAAATTATTTTTAATATGATTCTAAAATTTACAAACAATGTGATGGTTTAGCGAAGGGATCACCACCTTCTGGCTTATTAGCTGACATATATTTGAATGACTTAGAACCAAATAAGATAATGAACAAAAATAACCCTCATAATAAAAAAACATAATATATTGGCACAGATATGTAGATGATATATTATGTCTATTCAAAGGAAATGAAAAATCGTGCACTGACCTTTTATCCTATTTAAACACAATATCTAAGAACATAAAATTCACAATGGAAATACAAAAAGATGAAATAAATTTTATCGACTTAACAATTGGAAAAAACAATGACAAACATTATTTTAAAATTTATAGAAAAGCCACTCAAACAGATCTTGTTATTCCTGCTGACTCAAATTCACCGGTGCAACATAAAATGGGAAGCTTCAACTCTATGGTACACAGAATGTTTAGAGTACCTTTAAATGAAGATGATTACGATTTGGAAAAATCTATTATAAAAGAAATAGCTACAAGACATGGATACAAGGATAGTTTAATAGACAAATTAATCAAGAAGATAAAAAATAAGAAAACCCAAAATTTAGACATAGAAGAGAAGAAGGAGTTTATTTGTCTTCCGTACAGTTCGGTATTAAACAAACCAATCAGAAAAACAATTCAAGCATCTAAATTCAAAATTAGCTATAGATCTAGAACAACGCATTCAATTTAATTCATAAACTATCAAACAAGAACCCACAAACAATTGAAAAATATAACAAATCTGGAATATACAAAATTAAATGTCTAAATAGTCCCAAATTCTACATTGGTCAGACTGGAAGAGCATTTTCATGCAGATTCAAAGAACATATCCAAGCCGTAAAATCAAACAATAAAACATCGCAACGCTCAATGTATGCAGAACACATATTAGAAAATAATCATAATTATGGTAAATTAGAAGAATGTGTCAAAATTCTAAATTATGAGAAAAAGGGTGAAAAAATGGATATAAAAGAAGAGCTGCAAATATACCTACATTCAAAAGAACACGGTGACCAAATTATCAATGTAATGCAAAAACAAAAGCAAAATCCAATACATGAAAAAATCAAACAAATCAGGGAAGAATCTTGCACATTCACATGTTAAAAAATACACCTAACCATTTAATCAAAATTTAATATGAATTCAAAACATATGTTATTAACTATTTATTTATTTTATTTGTTTACATACTTTGATATAGCTCATACTGTGATCATGGCCTTAGTGCCGAAATACGTATCAGTTTAAATAAAAAATGAATTTCAGGGTACTCTGGTTTTTATTATTTTCCTTATTAATTGAAAAAATAGCCCTAAAAAGTGAACAGAACTATATAAAAAAAAATATATATATATATATTTAACCCTCCCAGTGTTATGTGTTGTAAAAGCGACTCATAACACATCCGCTGTAGTGTTATGTGTCGCTTTTGCGACTCACAAACACTGTTTACGGCGACGGTTCTGGGAATGACTGAATCGGATTGAACTGGATCGAGTTAGGTATCGTTTTTTTCAGCAGATTCAGAGCTTTCTCCTGATGTCTGTTTCTATACTGTTGGTAATGTTCATATGTTAAATAACATATGTTCTTTAATTGTATTGATTTTGTTGTTTATTTATGTTTTGATTCTGTTTTGCCTTGAATTGTGATGAAGACACTTTTATGATATTACAGTACAATATTAAATTAGTTTTATGAAAACTGTGTTACTTTATATAAGTTAAGTTATCAACATGGTGTCAGGTATGCAACTTTGAGAATATGAATAATATACAACCTCCTGAACCATTTGATTTTACTGAAAAACGTGATGCAACAGAAAACTGGAAGTTATTCAAATGCCAATGGAAGAATTATGTTACTTTGGCAGAAGCTTTCAGCTCAAAGTCAACAAACTTGTCGAATAAGAAGATTCGGCTTGCGCTATTCCTTTCAGTAATAGGAGGTAAGGCTGTAAGATTAATAAACAAGCTATGCAATGAACCATCTGATGTGGATGAAATTATCCTAAGACTTGATGAATATTTTCAGGAAGCAAAGAATGTTACTTAAGAACGATACAATTTCAATAGTGCCAAACAAGATGCTCAAGAATCTTGCAAGGATTACATTAACCGACTTCATGAACTTGTTGGTAAATGTGATTTTGAAGCCTTGGCTAATCTTTCAAAAAAGGAGATTGAGGAGCAGCTGATATGCGATCGTTTGGTCGCTGGGATTGCTAATGTTCGGTTACGGAAACGGTTATTGACTTAATCAGATTTGAGCTTAAACAAAGCCACACAGTTGTGTATTGCTGATGAGCACTCGGAGAGCTTAGCATTGAAAATTAATTCTAGGAACACAGAAGAAGATTTAGAGGAGAATAAAGACAATAGTTTTAGAGTTGAAAGAGACACTAACATGCGGACTTGCAAATTTTGTGGCAAGAATCATATTTGGGGTGCCAAGAACTGTGCTGCATATGGAAAAGTCTGTAGTAAGTGTAAACAAAAGAATCATTTTGCAAATGTGTGCAAGCAAAATATACGCAAGGTTTGTCATGTTGAAGCGGCTAGTAGACCCAAGGATGACACATCCGCATATGAAGATCGTTCGAACTCGGATGATGACATATACCATGTCAAAGAAGAAATACCGAAGAAACGCTTATTCATTGATCTCCCACTCTGCATGAAAGACAGTGAACCTTTTATCAAATGCCAGCTAGACAGTGGATCATCATGCAACGTCATTGGCTACGAGACGCTAAAGAAGTTAGTGGGAATCCCAAGATTGAAGGAGAGCAGTACAAGACTTACTTTCTATGGTGGTGAATCTCAGTTTTCCCTTGGAAAAGTCCAGTTGAATGTTAAGTGGAAAAATAAGAAACACAAATTGATTTTTGAGGTCATCGAGACACCTCACAATCCACTACTTGGTGCTCAAGATTGTATTAACCTTGGTTTGATTTCGTTTGATGAATTGGTCTATCAAATCCAAAGTTGTAAAGTCTCAGAGAAAATGCTATCTTCTTTTCCAGATATTGGAAATGGTTTAGGGTGTTTTGAAGGACACTGTGAATTTAAGCTAGATACATCAGTACCCTACGTCCGATTGTCGTTCCTCCACGGCGATATCCTGTGGCTCTAAAGAAAGAGATACAAGATGAAATAAAACGTTTGGAAGATCTGCAAGTGATAAAAAAGTGACAGAGCCTACCGATTGGGTTAGTGCCATGGTAGTTGTGAAGAAACCAAACAAATTACGAATATGCATTGATCCTCATCAACTCAATAAAGCAATAAAACGCCCGAACTACCAAGCACTGACTATCGAAGAGATTGCTCCCCAGTTGAGTAAAGCCAAAATATTCAGCAAACTAGATCTCAAAGACGGATTTTGGCATGTCAAATTGACAGAAGATTCTAGTAAATTAACAACATTTTGGACACCGTATGGAAGATACCGATGGTTAAGGCTACCTTTTGGTATATGTTCCGCTCCAGAAGAATTCCAGCGGCGTGTGAATGAACAGTTTGAAGATCTGGAAGGGGTCATAGTAATAGCAGATGATGTTGTTGTGTTTGGCAGTGGAGATACTGAAGAAGAAGCTCGCATGGACCATAACAATAATTTAAAATCACTACTTCAAAGGGCTCATGAGAAAAATGTTAAGTTTAACTTATCAAAATGTATGATTGGTATGAAGGAAATTAAATATATGGGTCATGTAGTCAGTGCAGATGGATTGAAGCCTGACCCCGAAAAGATTTCAACAATAAGAAATATGAAAGCACCACAAAACAAAGAAGAACTGCAAAGATTTCTAGGATTCGTGAATTATTTGGGAAAATTTGTTCCTAAACTCTCAGATGTATCAGCACCATTACGATCACTGTTGAAGGAAAGTAATTTGTGGATATGGGAAAAAACTCATGATGAAACATTTAAAAAGCTAGTCCATTTGGTAACATTATCTCCAACCTTAAAATACTTTGACATAGAAAAGCCAGCAACTGTGCAGTATGATGCTAGCCAATTTGGATTGGGAGCTTCCCTGATGCAAGATGGTAAGCCAGTGGCATACATTTCCAGGACTCTTAGTAAGGCAGAATCGTCATATGCACAAATTGAAAAAGAATGCTTAGCAGTAGTTTATGCTCTTGAACGATTTGAACAGTACTTGTTTGGAAAACATTATATAACAGTTGAAACTGATCATAAACCATTAGAGACCATCTTCAAAAAACCATTGAATTCGGCCCCAAAGCGGTTGCAGCGAATGCTTCTCAGACTGCAAAGATTTGATTTCAATATAATATATAGACCAGGAAGAACAATGTTCATCGCAGACTTTTTGTTTCGAACACCCATTACAGGAGTTAAATCACAAGGAATTGGCTTTAGCCCCGCTCAACTCCTCATGAACCGAAGAACACAAAGCAAACTGCCAATAAATAAGAGCTTACTGAAGCCACAAGTTCCACAAAATGTTCAGAATCTATGGGAACGTAAAAAGAGACAGTACAAAAGTCAGTATGACCATGGAACCACAGAGCTGCCTCCATTATCGATTGGCCAAAGCGTGTGGTTAAAGAAACAACCCCAACTGAAGAATGCGACATGGCTTGAGGGTAAAGTTGTTCAAAAGGAAGGGAGGAGAAAGTACATTGT